CCGGAGCCTCGGAGCGAGGAGGAGGAATTTCCGATGGCTCGATCCCAGGGCTCGAGCGGAGGAGACGGTTTTTGGTTTTGTTGCCCCGCCAGAAATCAGAAGCAGACCAGGGTGCACCAAAGAACAACCCCCAAACCCGGAGGGAGAAACAGAAACACCTCGGGGCAGGAGAGAAACGTGTTTTTTCTCTTCTTCTTCTTTTTCCCGATTGGTTTCTCCCTTAAAGACGCACAGAAGAAGTACCCTCAACAAAACAGACACCGTTTTTTGAGGGTACCCTTTTTGGGGTTGGTTCAAAGGGAGACTAACAGGAAACCCCACACACACACACACACACACAATTGTGGGGTTGCATATCCACTCATGGCTGTGATGGACATGAATCCCCGAATTTGATGATGGACTCATGTTCAGCCAAGGATCCTTTGGACCCATTAAGATTCACACCCAAATAAGAACGAGCTCGAAGATGCAGATCTGCCTCTCTCTCTCTCTCTGACCTTGTGAGCCGAAAGCCGAAAGCTGCGTGATTGGAAACCCGGCCACCTTGGCAGAGCGCCAAAGCAATTTGAAGCCTTCGGGCCACCGAGCTGCGGTGAGCGTTCGATCTGCCGAAGATCGCAGCTCGACGTCTTGCAAGCCAGTTGGAAAACCCCCAGGCTGGCCGAGGGCATCTGGAGCTCGCGAGGTTTGGCTCGCGCGCCGACGACGAGCGCCCCTTCTCGGGAGTGTCTGGAGTCCTGCGGCGATGGGATGGGCGGCCCTTCTCGGACGAAAGGTCTCGGTGGAGAAAAGCTGCAGCCAAAGTAGAGATCTTTCTGCAGGAGCGGCATGTTCTGTATCTCTATTCACAAAATGGAGGCCATCTCCATATTCTGGATACAGAGTAGCTGTGTGTCAAAGCTGGGCGCAAAGGAGTGCAAGCACGGTCCCATTTGGCTCTGACACATGCTGCTAGGTTCTGCTGATTCGAAGCCTTGGTTCTTGTCGAGTCTATGGGGAAGCGAGCCCCGAAACTCCAAACCAATCCAAGTCACCCTAACGAAACTGCACTCGCGCGGGAATGAGTGGTAGGTTCCAATCTTGTTGGAGAACTGTTACCGGCCACCCAAGGTGCCGCGCCTTTGCCAACGACCCGCGCCGGCGCATGGGCGTGGACGAGGTGCCGAATCGGGCGCCGGGCGAGGTCAAGACAAAACGGATGGGTCCCAGGGAGCCTGAGAAAAGCCCGAGCTTGGAGGACATCTTCTGAAACATGCCAATGTTTAGAGAATATCCCCATGAAACTGGAAAGAAAAAGCAAGCCCCGTTGTTGAGGGTTGCTTTTGTTTGCAGTTGCTGGTGGAAGGCTCAACATTGCGGGCAAGATCGGCAGTAGTCATGGGAAGCTTCGGGTTCCTTTGGTTGAAGTTCAGGCCCGGAGTTCCCGTGGATGGCTGCAAAATTGGTTTCAAGAAGACCCTAGCAGAAAAAGACGAACCAGGAGGTTCCTTGGTGTGAAGAACATGTTGAACACCTGGTTGAACTCTGAAGGTCATGCCTGTTGAAAACAGGGTGGGGTCGTCCCATTTTTCGTGAGAAACCCCGTAGGCATGGGGAACTACAGAAAGTGTTATTTGCCACAACCTTGTTTAAGGTTGTTAAAAGGGCCTGGACCTTGCCTTTGGCAATACTTTTTTAAACGGTTAGTAAGCATTGTTTGAAGTGAAGTGATGCTTAATCATCTTGATTGGACACTTTGGAATGGAACATGGTTGCTTCTGGGTTGGAGCATTAGAATGGTTAGATAGGGTTGTGATGATGTAGAACGGTTACTTGCGGGTTGGATTTTAGAACTACCAAGTTCCTTTGTTTTGGGTGCCAAAGTCAGGGGTTCCCATTGCAAATCTCTTCGGTGGTGTCCTCTGGCCGATGTCGAATGGCGACCATTCTCAGACACATTCCATGGTATCGAGTAGTGACTTTCACCGGGATGTGAATTGGACTGGAAGACTTACCCTGCCCACCCAACATGGCGCCTTTAGGGAGGAAAATTGATCTTTCAGGTACCTTCCAGGTGCTGTGGATGAACAAAATTCTGCACTGCCTAAGAACCCCTGGAATGATGATTCCCCTGTGAATACCAAGAAGCAATGGTCTCCCATGGTTTCAAAGTGGTGCGAAGTGGATTTCGTCCGTCCACAGTTGGAGGGAGGGGAGCCATCAAAAACTGGAAGCTTCGATCCCCAGGGTATTGAAAGAGTGCTTTTGAGTAGGGAGACCATCTGCTTCTGCCGGAAGTTCCGAACAAGACGTGGAGGAAAGTCAATTGCCAGACTGAATCGACCTTGTTGCTCGTCTGCTAGTGTGTTTTTCTTTGAGTTTCCCCTTCCAACCAGCAAACATATGGCTGTGGGTCAAAACCAATGGTACCATTTTGGGGTAGGTCACCACCCATTTGAGTCTATTTTAGTGGGGATTGGGATGTTCACTGGGGGTACGGGATTTTGACCCATGGCCATATCATAGCCTTTTGGGGGTCTTTGTGTTTGGCCAAGCGTGGACATCAACATCGTGCCACTTGTTCAGTGGAGACCACAAAGCGAAGATACGACATTCAAGCCTGATTTACGACATACTCCTCGTTTACTCCTTTCTTGGCGCTTTCCTTTGGCAGCGGTGAAGCTTTGGGCTGCAAGATGTTTGGGGACGCCTCTCCATATCTTGACATATTTCCCACTTGCAGCTGGTGACGCAGATGAAACAGTGACCCTGCTTCTTGGGGTTGCCCATGGGACGTTGCCAATTGGATTTTCGGCTGGGATCCTCGGGAATAAAGATTCGGGATCGTTTTTCAGACGCGGGCGTGTCGTTTTGTTGACACTTTTAGTGTGTTCTAAAGGGAAACCGCTGGCGCTCTCGGGCATTCAGCTAGTGCAGTGCTCATGTGGGTCTGGGGTTGAAGCCCCGTTTGGTTGACTCACATCTGCCTAGGCCACCAGTTTTGACTGGACCCTAGGGTCTAGGTTGGGCGCCCCAACCATTCCCAATAGTGTGTCTGCTTTTTGGTTTGGAGTGAGCCATCATTATATTTTGATTGCTACCAAGTTTTTTTGAGCTACGCAAGTGTTATTGATCGCACGTGTTATGTTTGCATGGCTGAAATTTTGAATGCGCGACCCGTTTGTTTTTGTTAGGTGCACTTTTTTTTTTGCCAGCTCATGTCTATCGCGTCGCAGGCAGTTGACATCGGAGCCGCTTGTTTGTGTCATTCGCCCAGCCATTTGGGTAAGAGCACGCAACGCAAACAAGGTTCAGCTCGCATTGGGGCGGTTGTTGCGCACCAACACACAGGAACACGCAAGTCACTGTGAGCTGTGGCATCACAGAGCACGCTGCGTTGACTAGGTGTTTACTTTCAGAAATCTACGTGTGCGTGACACCAGCGCAAGTTCCTGACAGCCATGACGGACATTACTGTCAAGGCCCGCCGGCTGCTGAAAGCAAGCTGGCTCTCGCGGGAGCGCATGACGCTGATGGCAACCACTCAGCAGATTCTTGACTGTAAACTAAAACCCCGCCACTCTTTTCACTGAATGTTTGATGCGTGAATCACTGCGTCAGATTGGCCCCGCTGTTTTGCCTTCCACAGTTTCCACACAACTTGAACTGGCTGTCCTTTCAGCGATTGTCCCAGGATTGCATCGCTGGTGCCGCACAACTTGAAGCATCACCTCAACCAGGCCATCGCAACGCTCGGCGAAGCGGCTAGTCTGCACAGCGGAGCGTTTGAGTGTATTGGGCCGCGCGTCACCAAGACCTAGTGTTGCGGGTTTGTCGTCAGCTGTCAGCGCAGACTCAACGCGCACTAGAGTCATGACTGGTTCAGCCGGATTGTTGCCGGTCAGTTTGCTTGCTCATTGCACCTTGCCATTGATCAGGCCGTGACGCAGTGTGGTCCTTCCCGCCAGCCGACGAGCATGTTCGACTTGATGTACTTGCCAGACCTGATGACCAAGTTAGGCCTCAGCCACGCCCCTATTTTCGAGAACTGGTGTGACTTGGTTGCATCTCAAGTCGCGAGCCGATTGGAATCAACGGCAGGGGCAAACGGCCCTGCGCATTCTCAAGGGCTTGATCGGGCGCACAGGGGTGACAGTTTCGACAGTTTCAGCTTGTCAACAGATTCGCCCGGCGGCATATCTAACGGCTTGTCTGCAAGTTCAATCTCTGGCGCAGATCGAACTGATCATGCTGCGCCAGTGGTGATTCGGTGGCCTGTTGTTACCATTGCTGCTGCTGCTGCTGCTGCTGCTGGCCAACCACCCGCGCCTCCGCGCCTTATGTCGGATGCGTCAGCTGAGCCCAGCCAGGCTGAACAACATTGCGTGGTTAGCCTTGAGGCAGGGGACCTTGTGAGAGCAAAACGCCTCAGGTCAGAACTGACTGATTTGAGCCGGTCTGACACACTCCAACGTTTGCAGCAGATGTCGCACCGTGAGCTGGCTGTATTTGCATTGGGGGAGCATTTGCACGGGCGCGATATGTCAAACCGGTGTTTGGCTTTGAAGCACCAGCTGAAGATGAAGTCGCAATCCCTACGGCGAACCTCCTCTAAGCTTCAAAAGGTGGCGCAGAAGCGTCAGCATCAGGCTGAACCTCTCCAGGTGGACCGGTATAAGCATAAGCTTACATGGCGGGGGGCCGTGAACTTGGGCCTCAGGAAGACAATGTCGCTGGTTTCGGCGACAAGCTTTCCGTTGGCGTCCTTTGTAGATGTCTCAAGATGGACAATCACACGCGCTGAGGTGTTATGCTTTGCTGTTATCCTGGCAAGGGTACGCGGTTACCATGACATGGTGTACGCCCTTCTGAAACACCTGCGGGCCAAACGGGATGAAATGGTTTGCGGCGAGCAACTTTATCGCGATGGCGCTGACCTACCTGCCAATTCGCTGGTTCCCTTTGCCCTACCGAGTTCCATCATTGCTGATGAACTACCGTTGCCTTCGCAGGATGAGGCCGTTCGCGCAGATCATGGTTTGCCCCCTTTTGATGGTGTGATTGGTTGCATGATGCAATGTGGCAACGAGCGGACCGCTCCCTACGCTATGGGTTTGACTTACTTCTCAGGAGATGCTACAAACTCTAGCATTTGGCAACGCCAAAAGTTACAGGGCTTAGAAGCGTCGTCTGCAGTTCTGGTTGACCAGAAAGCATTGGCATCGTGCAACTACGCATCAGCTTTCAGCACGCTGAGTTGCATGTGACATGGCTGTAGTAGTCGCATTTGCCACTTTGACGTTTCAGCGTTTTGTCTCAGTTGAAGAATGGTTGGTAGTCTTCGTCGTCGCGCTAAACTTGTAGTCAACATATAGCCCCTTCTACCACCTGTTGCAACCCCGTGCGTGAAAGAATGTGAAACTGGAATGAAACATTAGACATTTGAGTGCATGAGCGCCAGTCCCATGCAGGTCAGATCTACAAGTTTGCGCCAGCGGGTCAGCGGCTGGCAATGTGGCCATCGTCCTGAAACAGCTAGCGGTTCTTGGAGTTCGCAACTGGCACGAAATTAACTCACTTCGACAGAACCTTGGATCAAAGACCCTAGTTTTACTAGATTTTGACTGTTGGGCCATTGGTTCGCTCGAGCATGACGTCAAACCACTTTGCGTTTGACGCAGCTTTAGTGGTGTGACCCGACGCGCTTGGCTTTTCACCGTTTGGGGCGTTTGCTGTTACCCTGTCACAGGTTGTTTTATCGGTTTAGGGTTTTGCAAAAATCATCTAAGCGCTAGCTCAGGCGCGGCGATTTGCCCAAGGAGTACCTACACATTTTCTGCAACACATCGGACTCCGGACCGGACCAGTCGGGCACCAGGTCATTCCTACGCACGCTTTTTGCTCAACCAGGGTTTGAGGACTCGCTGTTTGTGGGGATAGCGTGTTTGAAGCACCAGTATCACCTTGTAGCCCGGGGTCAGCTCCAGCTGATTGATCAGATTCTGAAAAAAGCCGGGAAGAAATACAAGTATTTTTCCAGTTTGGCAACCCTTGGTCATTCATGGCGTGGTCACTTGGCAAAGCTTCGCAAATCATGGTCAACGCATTCCAATCCTCACAATGAGTACATTCTGTTCAAAGTGCCCCCGCTGGCAGTGGCTGGAAGATGGGCGTCCGTTGACAGCCACTTGGATGTAACATCGGGTGTGGCTTACTTGTGGTGGCGTGGTAATTGTTGTGTGGCACGCTTCCGCGACTCCTGTATGAATTGTTCTGACTAGCGCTCGGCGGTGACATCTCTCATGCTCGGAAGTGTGAAGCCAGGCAACCCAGGGACCCTGGCTTTTTTCCTAGCTAAACGCCCCAAGCCCCAAGTCACAAGCCCGCTGCAAAACAGGCTGTTGCAGTATGATCGCATTTTGCCGAACCTGAGGCGCGGAGCTCTTCTATTTGCAGTGCGGCCCATCCAATGTGGCCAAGCTGCTGACGGACACCTTTTCCTCTGATCGCCGCTCCGACCAAGCTATTCAGGATGCTCAGGCAGAGCCCCGTCAGGCGCGCCCTTCAGAGTCCGATGCTTTAGATGAGTTGTCCCTCAACGAATCTATGCACTACAAGGAGAAGGTAAGCAAATACTTGCGAAACAGCCTTATGTGCGTGCAAGACGCGATGTTCTGGTTTCTGATGGCTGTGGCCAACAAATGCCGGGAGCCCTTATTACATTTTTACGCATGGTTGTGCCAGCCCTCAAGCGATGACAACTTCAGGTTGGTTCAGTTGGTCACCAGCCACATTGCCATCATTCGTGGGGAGTTTGACGCCTTGTGTGCATCGTTCGACCAGTGGACGAACGAAGCCTTGACAAAGGCGTTGTCCATTTTTGGAGCATCGGAGTTCAGTGAGCGTGAGAAGGGTTTCCTCCTCACATCCGCGCTGCTCATTCTCCTGCACAACGCTGCAGCTTTCAATAGGAGGGTGGCCAGAAAGTTTGCTATGTCAGGCGCTTAGGGCTTAGAACCCTTTTTGGCAGCTATCTATCTATTGTGATATCACGAAACAGTTTAAGTTGGATGGGACTGGCTGCGACTGGCTGCTATTAGGCTATTAGCTCGGTTGATGGTCAACACAGACAACAACAACCACAACCAGACCGCCACCACTACCAGAAACTACCGTGACGACATGATGCAACGGCAACAACAACCACCGCCGCCCATCGCCGCCATAACGGTAACAACAGCAGCAACAGCAACCACGACCACAACCGCAACAAACACAACGACAACGACTACCGCAACAACGACTACCGCAACAACAACAACAACAACAACAACAACAACAACAACAACAACAACAACAACAACAACAACAACAACAACAACAACAACAACAACAACAGCGGCAGCAGCAGCAGCAGCAACAACAACAACAACATCAGCAGCAACAACCGCAACCACAACGACAACGGCAGCGACGACAACAAAACCACAACGGCCATCACCATCACCACCACAACCACTACCGCCGGCAGGAACAACGACAACACCACCACCAACAACAGCAACAGCAACACCGACAAGAACAACAGAAACAGCACCGGCCACGACAACAACAAGAACGACAACAACGACGACGACGACGACGACAACAACAACAACAACAGCAGCAGCAGCAGCAACAACAACAACAACGACACCGACACCGACACCGACTACGACGACGACAACAACAACAAGAGACGGCCACGACGACCACGACGACCACGACGACCACGACGACCACGACGACCACGACGACCGCGCCGACCACGACGACCACGACGACCGTGACGACAACAGCAGCAACAGCAACGTCAACAACGACAACAACAACGACGACGACAACAACAACAACAACCACGACGACGACGACAGCGACAGCGACAGCGACAGCAACAAGAACAAGAACAAGAACAACAAGAACAACACCAACACCAACACCAAATTGACACCAACAGCAACAACAGCAGCGACAGCGACAGCAACAGCAACAGCAACAACAGCAACAGCAACAGCAACAGCAACAGCAGCAACAGCAGCAACAGCAGCAACAACAGCAACAGCAACAGCAACAGCAACAGCAACAGCAACAGCAACAGCAACAGCAACAGCAACAGCAACAGCACAAACAACAACAACAACAACAACAACAACAACAACAACAACAACAACAACAACAGCACGTCGCTGTTGGCTTGGCTGCTGGCTTGTAACTCCAGGGTTTTCCCACCAGAGCAAAAGCGGGCGTGTGTTCTTTTAGGGCGCCCGTCTTGGAGCTGGCTGAAGTGGAAAACACGGGGAATCCATTTGAAACCAACAATTTTCGGGGTTCTCCGAGTTCCCCGTGTAAAGACGAACTCAGAACTCAAGTGCTGTGAGATTCCAAGATGGGAAATCAAAGACTTTGAGCGCATCAGGAACCGAGCTAACTTGCAGGCGTTTACGCATTCCACAAGTTACAACCCAACACACAGACCCCTGGACGAAATTTTGCAGCGGTGTGTGTCGAGTCGAAAATAGTCCTCTTGGTTTCTCTTTGGGTCTCAGTCGTGCCCTGGAAAAGTGGACGTGCGTTCCTTCAAAACCACCAGGAAGAATCAGACCGCTTTCTGGGACAAAAATGAACACAAAAGGAAACCACCAAATCCGAAGGGAGAAGCCGAACTCAGCTCAGTGGTTTTTCTTTGAACAAAGGACGCCGTTTTCGGCTTCACGCGTTTCGCTGTTTCGCTCTTCCAAGGAAACCACTATGAAAAAGGGTGAGGGGTGGGGTCCGCTCGGCAACAGGGGCCCTAACTCCATGATCATGACCTGGATGTTGAAAGTGCTTCTTGAATTGTCACCGCGGCTTTGGTGTTTTGTCACTTAACTTCTCATGCTGCCCTACAAGACATGGGGCTGTTGTATCAGTCATATCCCACCGTTGCTGGGAAACACCAAACATATATACCTAAATCGTTTCCACCATGTTGAAGGGCAAAGGCAAAGATGTCTCAGACGGCGCCGCTTGTGGTTGAGTGTCTTTGTGGGGTAGGATTTCCCTGAAGCCCCCAACTCAAATCTTCCAACCTTTGAGTTTCAGCCACAGGGGCAGGTCTCCGGAGCCGCCTCTGCTACTGGCTGAGGTGGCCATGGCCGCTCTTCCGGATGTTGTGGTCACTGCCCACCATCGAGTGCGCAACTCGACGAGCGGTTGCCACTGCCTTGCTCGACGCAGACAACGAACTGCTTGAGAACACCACCCTTAAAATCAAAAGACGCTGCCTAGCAGAGCTACACTTTGCAAAGGACACAGGCAAGCTTGCAAGCGGGTCACAACTGCATTGCATTCTTGTTATGATAGCGAGAAGCATTCGGCTAGACGCGGGCCTGCTTGAGTCGCTCAACAGCAGCATCAAGTCGGCCATGAACATGGCTAACAACACCCGCACCAGCCTTGAGCTACTTTCATCGCGAGTGAATGCCCGCAAGTTTGTGACTATGTCAACAGGAGGAAGCACGCGTCTTCGCGAGGTAAAGCCAGTTCTAGAACGACTCTCGAAATCGTCCATGATATACCAGCGCCAGGAACTACCTATTCTGCAGGACACATACAGGTGGGCACCCCCGCAGCCTTCCCCAGGCCAGTATTTTGCAGGCAACCCTGACATCTATGAACCTTGCTTGAAGCTGGACCAAAAACAAAGATGGGCCATCAAGTACAACAAAAAAATGATGCAGGCTTTGAAGCAGCTACAGGGCTACAACGCCATTGGTGTTGTAATCCACAACAAGGACGGTTGTTCGTACTTCATTGTGGCTGAATGGACAGCCAGGCTGTGCGAGCTGCAATCGCTTGATTATCATGAGGCGCCAGACGGGGGCGTGTTCAGCATCGCTGTCCCTATTGCGTGTGTGATGTCAGTCAATGCCATTGCTTCTGTGTACGAGGATGTCAAGGGCGAAAAAAAGAAGGGGCTTGAACTTGGAGTCATGGCGCTTTCTGATTATGATTGCGCTGGCGTTCAGGCCCCGCGTCATCAGGCTGGTCATGGTCGGTTCTTCATGTTGCAGGACCAGGCCAAGGTTGCAACCATGAAGTTTCGCGAGTACAACCGCAAAGAAGCCGATGATCGCAGCAAACCTGCAGTCTGCGGCGAAGACGGCGTTGGCGCTCTGCGTGACGCCGACGACGCTGATGGCAGCGCTGGTGAGGCTGATGATGACGCTGATGACGCTGACATCCATTCGATTGCCAGAGAGCTTTGCGGGGATGACGGCGCTGGGTCTGAGTGCGGCTTGAGCGACGACGAGGAAGTAGCAAAAGATTTGGACGCAATGCAGCGGATGAATGATTGTTTTGTTGCAACTGCGCTTGAACGGCAACAAGAGCAGTGTCATTCGCCCAATGCGAATGATGCGAACGAACGTCAAACAGATGGTTATCCTGATGCGAGGCCATACGAAGATGAGCAAGGCGAACATTTCTTACGTGAGTTCATGAACAATTTCCGCAGCCAAAGCAGTTCAGCAGACGACAGTGCCACGCTGCCGCAGCCGCACGCATCGTCGTGCCCACCACGGCAGCTGTCACCTGACGCGGTTCCTGCTGCGCTGGGCAAATGGGCGTTGAATGTTTGTCGATCTTCAACAGTTTGTGCTGAAATTGCTGAGTCGTGTCGGCACTTTGAGCCGAGCAATGTAGATGCGTGCCTTGGTCATGAACTATCCCTCGTGTTGCACGAACAGACCGACTCGACGCTTGCAACTAGCTTTGCAACGTGGCTGCCGCCATACAGGAACCTTGTAGGACGTTCTGTGAGGCTAGACAGCGACAACTGTGTGGTGTACCCTTCGCACTTTACTGCCAAGACCCACTACAGCCCGTGCTTCATGATCATGCCATCTGTTGGAGCCAGAGTGCGGAAGAAACAACGCGAACAGGTGAGAGCTTCTGCGCTCAGGGCGCGTGCTATGTTTGATGCAGCTATGGATGGGCGATTTGCAGGAAGCTTGGAAATTGATGCATCTTTGTGCTGCGCTGCCTGTGGCTTATCGCAGGACGAACTTGGCCCTGGCGATTCGTTGCGCAGGTGTGCATTCTGCACGTTGCACTGGCACTCGCACTGCGCAAGGTGCTTATCTCAGCACATTGATGATGAGTATCTGACATCGCAGAGTGTGGTTAGACTGGGTCAACTGGGCCTGGAGCCGGCCACTATGCCATTCATCTTCTGGCTCAATTCGGCGAAGCTAGAGCTAAATTATTAAGCTATGTGTGAAGCAAACTTGTTGTTGTAAGTGCGAGGTATGTGCAGCAGTCTTTGGTCCCGAACAGTTTGCCAAATCCCACCTACAGCGATGCGAGGTCTTGTTTCATTGAATCCGAGCATCAAGTATCAGAGGGATAGAAATCAATGCAGCTTGTTAGTTTGCTGCAATCGTGGAGGCCAGCTGACATGATCAGGCTGCGCAATGGTTCCAACAACTTGGCTAAACGCGCTTGTCAAGTCACACTGCCAAGACAGCTGAGGAACAACTCGGGCGACCGCGACATCGCTGGCCTCCTACATGGTCTTGCAGTTGCAGAGGCAGCGCCTGGCGTTGCAACTGTGCTGGCAGGATCAGTGATGAGCCAGATGCTCGTTTGCAGTAGGGGTGGGGACACGGCCTGTGGAGGAATTTCCAATGTTACCCGGCCCATGTTCCATCTTTGGCGCATTGCTCCAAGTTGCAAACGTGTTGAATTACGAATGGCCGGCCTGCGCTTCACATGGATGCTTTGGGTTTACTCTGATGCTGAATGCTTTAAGCGTGTTGCCTCTGACTTGTGTTGCCTTGAACCAACACACCAGGCAACTTATTCGCCCATGAGCTGTCTTAGCCTCAGGGAGGCCATCGATGCCACCGTGACCGGCGTCGACCTCTTGCAGACCGTGTGCGCCTGCTGCGCGTTCTTCATCAAGGAATCGTTCAACCCAAGGCCTGGGCAGGGCCGGGCGTGTTCCCAGTTCAATTTCTGCATCACCATGACCCGCCATTTGATGAGTGAATCTGTTTTTGCATCAAACCAAAAACCAGCCAACCAACCAATCAACCAATCCAATCCAATCCCCAACCCAATCCAACCCAACCGCATCGCTCGATTGATCGATCCTTACTGGTGCAGGTCAATGCCATCCGCATCATCATCGTCGTCCAGGCCGAGCTCTGCTTGACGGCCTTGATGAAGCACGAGGCCGAACAAGTTGTGCCGTTCTCTTTGGTCGTTTGCCCCTTCCTGAAAGCACCGCCCCAAGATTTGGGGTGGAACGCTGGGTCCAACTCAACAAAGTGCGGGGCGACCACGTTTGGGTCTTTCACCAGGGCTGTTTCTTGGGCGGGGATGATTTGGATTTGGCTCAAGCATGAAAGGTCAATCGTTTGGTTCTCACTGTCTGAACGCAGGCGATGTCAGCGGCGATGTCTACAGTATACACGCTCGGGCGCTATGCTCAGCAATGTCACCCACATGTTCACACGTGTCAGGATTGACACACATGTGGACAGATGCTTTGGCTGAGTTCACTTCTTTCAGTGCGCCGTGCATCATTGAATGGCCGTGCGCCCAGTGCTAGAGCGATAGGGCGAGTCAGTGATTGCATGATGGATGGGCGTCACACAGCCCTGTTCCAAGGGCCCGACAGAGTGATTGGGTGTGCCGGACGACACGTTGTGTGCGATGGCTCGAACCCACTACACTAGGTACGGACAGGTCATCGGCTCGACCTACAAACAGAATTATTGCGATGTTGAACAAGCTGTTTGATTCCCGCCGGCTCAACTTCAACACAATTTTAGCAGGGCAGGCTCCCCTCTTCTAGGCTACCCAATTTTTCCAGGCCTGCCCGGCCTGCCCCTCCCCCTAGCCCCAGACCTCTGCCCCGCCTTACCCCCCCCCCAGGCCCCCTACTAGGCTACCCCTACACAGGGCTACCCCCCGACCTAGGCTACCCCCCCCTAGCCCTGCCCTAGGCTACCCCCCCCCCCTGGGCCGCCCCACCCACAGGCACCCCCCCCAAGCCCACCACCCCTAGGCTACGCCCCCCTAGGACCCCCCCCCACCTAGGGCTACTCTAGGCAACCCACTACCTACCCCCCCCTAGGCCCCCCCACCCTAGGCCACCCCCCCCCACCCCCGCCCTAGGCTACCCCCCCCTAGGTCTGACCTACCCCTAGGCCACCTTTGCCTGGGACCCCCCCGACCTAGGCTACCCCCCCCTAGCCCTCACCCACAGGCACCCCCCCCAAGCCCCCCACCCCTCGGCTTCCCCTAGGGCCCCCCACCTAGGCTACCCCCCCCTAGCCCTGCCCTAGGCTACCCCACCCCCCCCCCCCACCCACAGGCTACCCCCCCCTAGGCCCCCCCACCCTAGGCTACCCCCCCCTAGCCCCCCGCGCCCCGCCCTGTAGCCCCCCCAGGTCTGACCTACCCCTAGGCTACCCCCGCCTAGGGACCCTACCCCTAGCCTCCCCCCTCCTAGGCTACCCCCGCCTAGGCCTAGGCTGACCCGCCTCTGCCTAGGCTACCCCCCCCCCCCCACCCCCACTCCTCTCCTTCCCTCCAGTTCCCTACTCACGCGCTGGCAAATTCTTTGTTCACACAACCCACACAGCAACATAAATTGTTTGTAGGTTGAGCGCAAGCCCTCAGCCTCTTGTAGCGCAGCCAAATGCCGCCAAAGTTCACCTGTGCCAGCTCACATCAAGAAGTTTCACTGCTGCAGTGCTTCGACTTTGATGACCTTCCATCAAGGTCTACATCGTGTGTGCTATACAGGAGCATGACTGTTTTGCATGTTGACGACAATGTTGGCCTTAATACGCTTTAAAAGGCTTTTCGCTTTGTTAGTTCAAGCTTGAACTGCTCCCACATCATATATTGTTGGCTCTAACACTCCTTGCAACCCACAGGAGCCAACGCCCGACCCTTGCATTTGCTGACTCCCCAATCGTGTTGGTCAACAAGCCAGAGAAGATCTTCAAGGTGCTGGGGTTCGTAGACACCCTCACTGTCGTCACCATTGTTGATGGCAAGTCTGACAAGTTTGCAGACCAGCTGCCTGCAATCAAGAAGAACTTCAAAAGCGCACAGAACATCCGAACGTATATAGGTGCTGCCACAGGGAGTAAGCTTTTTGCCCTGGTGCTGGAGGGCTACGCTTCGAAGGGACCTTGGGCCTACGAGTGCTTCTGCGCGTCCCCTCGTTTCCGTACAGGGTTTGGAAAGGGCCTTGTCAAGCACATCCCTCCACAGCCGATCAATGCGGTCAGCGTCAACAAGTTCTTTAATCCTATTGCGGCTGTGCGCAGAACAGATCAGCGGCTGCAGCAACATGACCAATGTGTGACACCCGCTGAACCAGGCGCTGACTCTGTGTTTTGGTTTCGGACAACTTGTGTTTCGCATGATTGAGTGCCCGCGTGACCCGCAAGGTGATTCCACTGATCACACGTCTCAACCTGGAGACACGCATGGTGCGGCTGTGGAGGACAAACATGTGCAGGACTCTACCAACCTGTTGCTACCAAACACGCAAGGCACACCTGGAACCGGCTCGCCGCTTGTCAGCATCATGCTGGCAAGCTAGTTTCGAAGTTTCCAGTTGCTGACAAGTGATCCCTAACCATAGCCGCAGTTGGCCGTGTTTCCGCTACTTGTTATCCAACCCATGTCAATTGCCACTGGCTTCGTTTCGCTCAGGAACGAGATGCCATCGCCAGAACAACAGCTTCAGCTTCTTCATTGTGATCCTGACGGTCACTCCCACCCGAACAAAGACAATCGCACCCATGGAGCACACGGTGATGATACGCATGCTAATGACCAGGCTTCTGCTGCTCCTGATCCGCCCGAGTCCCAGCCTGCCAACGTGGTGTTGTCGTCGCCTGAGACTTCTCCGCCTGAGTGCCACTTAGCAGATGCCAGCACTCTACACCAGCCAGATCCTGTCTGTTCTGACCAACAGCAATGCCACGTCACCGCCGACTCAGATGCAGCCAAAACGTTTGATTACTTGAACAGTTGCCTGGCAGCATCTTCGTGAAATTTGCAAGCTTGCCCTTTCTCATTCACAGTCTTCGTGTGATGCGGTTTCATGCAAACAGCCAACTTAAACGGACTTACCACCTTGCCCTCATCCGTCAGCAGTTCAACCGCGTTTGGTACGTTTTCAATATCAGGGTTCCAGGACCCAAGGGTTGCTTTGTAGATTTGTGGGACTTACACTTCTTTAGACTGGCATCTCAGGATGGCCAGACCGATTCATCAATACCTACGCCAACCTTGATGAGAAGTATCACGACACGTCCATGGACGCATGCGATATGGCCATTGACATCAGCTCTGGTAGCAATTCTTCACGATCGCTTCAGAAGCTATGCGACAAAATGTCGATAGCTTCGTACTCAACAGCCTTCAGCGGCATTGACAGCCCAGGTACGGCTTTTGCTCAGCTCCGCGCCGCAGCAAGCGCCGTCGCATCGTCCAGCCTCAGAGCGCCAGACCATTTGCACGCCTGCGCGCCTTGTCTACCTGTGTGTTGACACACTAGTTGAAACTCTCACAGTTAAGCAGTCACTCGGTCGTTTGTTGTAAGCCCACGTGCTATTTCCGGGCCCCAGGGATTTATAGACTCCGGTGTCTGTTTGTTTTAGTAAACCAACAAACTTCGTGCAAACGCGCTGCTACATGACACAACCTAACGCACTTTTATGATCTCATTTCTCCCTCCAATTCTTTTTAACAACTCTAACAACTACTCGCGAACCTTCTACTGATTTTACTGTTGCTTTGACTGTCAGGAGTGGAACACTAGCTCTCGCAACGAATGTCTCACGCATCCCCATCGACCCTTGTGCATGTTCAATGACATCGGTCAGTTCCTGCAGACGTCGTTGCAGCCGATGCTGGCTGACTTGACGAATGGTGACAAGCTGGACACTCACCTAAAGCCTCTCATTCTGTCAGGGAAAGCTATCAGGGCATCGTCTTACTGCGTCGTGCACCAAAAGCAATGCCGGATTGACAACCAGGTCGCTATGATGCACATAGCTGGCACTCCTTGTACGGCCCATAGCGCTATGGGGCTGAGAGACCAGGAGAAAGCCTTGGCCTTTGCGCACTTCTTGTGCTGGTGCGGACAGAGACGGCTCACTCAAGAGCCGATAGTTGTCCAGGAGTGTGTGGACACGTTCCCACGCAGCGTCTTCCACGAGCTGCTTGACATGTATGACTGGTGCTTCGATGTGCTATCGCCGGTTCAGTACGCGTGGCCAGTAACAAGGACACGGCAGTGGGCAGTGCCGCTTGGTGCGGCACAGTCACTTTCCTTTATACTTCATCTCAGTTGCCAAATTGTGAGTGGGACGCCGCCTCTCTGAGCAACTCAGGGGTCGCCACAAGGCGAAGACACTTGGTTTCAGATCGTTGCTCCACAACTTCGCGCCCATGTTCTACGAGTCCTGTGTCGCTGACTGGAGCATATTCTTTTGGGAGTCGGGGACCTAGCTAACTGGTTGAAGCCAAATTTCTGTGGGGGTGGGGTGGGTGCGTGGCGACATGTTTGCTCCTCCTTCGTGCGCGTGCTGTGTGTTTGTGTGTGTGTTCTGAGTGCCGATCGTCCGACAAATTGTTCAATGCGCTGTGCCATCCAGGTCTGATGCAACAGAGCTACAAGCTGAGCTGGACTGGGCATCCAAGCGCCCCGAATCGCGCTGGTCTCGGGAGCACGCTGATGATCGAGCTGTCGTTGACTATCACAGCGCTGACGGCGCAACTGTCTGGGAAGCATGCCTCACAGAGTGCGAACATCGGTTCTATCAGTCCTACCTTCTGAACTTCCCTGACAGCGTCTATTCGCTGAACCAGGACCCAGCCATCAAGCCCATGTACGCGCATGGAAAGGCGTGTTGGCAAACGTGACCCACACTCTTAAACAGTTGCCGGTTCTATTGTCGGGCAGTGTGATCTGACTAAAGTGCTTCAACCGTCAACAAACCTGACCTCCGTGTGTGTGTGTGTGTGTGCGTGTGTGTGTGTGTTGTGTGTGTGTGCGTGTGTGCGTGTGCGTGCGTGCGTGCGTGTGTGTGGGTGTGGGTGTGGTTGTGGGTGTGTGCGTGCGTGCGTGCGTGCGTGTGTGTGTGTGTGTGTGGGTGCGTGCGTGCGTGCGTGCGTGCGTGCGTCCGTGCGTGTGTGTGTGTGGGTGTTTGTGTGTGTGTGTGTGTGCGTGCGTGCGTGCGTGCGTGGGTGTGTGTGTGTGTGTATTTGTTTGTCGGCCTTGCCCTGCGCGAGGTCCTCATGACGCTGATCGCCTCTGTCAACTTGTTGATGAGTTCCCGCCACCGTCGGTGGATGACCATGAAGGAGACGTTGACGGTTCAAGGCTTTCCCATGACAGATCAGCACACACACAGACAGGCGTGCAGCTCTTTTGCTTTGCGGGCTCAGCAAGCCTTGCGCCGCATCCCGACTCAGAGTGGCTACCATGGTCCATCCAGAAGATCCGGCTGCAAGCAGGCTGGCAACAGCATGCACGTCACCATCTCTGGCATGGTGCTGTTGTTTGCCATCACACAAGTCCAATTCGATAGTGGCATGATGCGTCTGCAACTGCTCGCGCGGTCTTCAAGACATGTGATGGAATGTCTCGCGGCCAGCCCGCGTCAATCGCGCAAGCGCAACATATCGCAGGCCATCCTCCGCCCCGACGATTCAGACGAATCGCCGCTCAAGAAGCGGGCGTGATTGCTCGCCACCTGTCTCATGAGCCGATTGCGTTGCTGAAACCAGAGTGCTGCCCTCCCCCCGCAACAACTAACAGTTTTAATAGCGACTACCTCAATTTGGAACCAAGTAACTTTGGTGTGTGTTTGCGGACTTGTTGAGTTTTAAACGGCAAGCTGCGCGTGTGTGATGAAGATAGTGACTCCTTGGCGCACTTTCACCAGATTGGCTTGACGTTGGCAACACATGTTGACAGAATTGAGCGCACGTTAGTTAGACATTAGCCATTTTGGTTCTTGCTGTGGGTTTTCGGCGGTTTTCGGTTTTGATCGTCACCATGACCGCTTCGGAGAAGTGGGATGTTGTGAGAGCAGACAAGCGCACCTGGAGCGTGGACGTCTCAGTCAATGACATCTTCCCGGACCTGAACGGGAGGGTGCTGTTGGATGCCATTTGGGAGGTGTATGGAGTTGGCATGGGCGAGCGCAAGACCATCCAATTCTTCCAAGACTCCAACGTCCCTGATCAGTCGCTGCCCTTTGCCAGTCGAGTTCGCAATCTGGCACGCCACTCCGTCTTCAACCCCCGTCAGCAGGAAGGCGTGAAGGCAGCCTATGTGAAGTCCTGCAAGGCGCGGGGCATTTGCGAAAGCGTTCGCGGAGAAGCATGGGCGACGCAGCCCACTGCTAACGACGATGGCCGGATGGGCCCATACTTGCTCATCAGCAGCGCCTCATTGGTGGAGGCGTTCTACACAGCGCTGAACGAGGAGCCCGGCAACCCGAATCTCATTGCCACGCTCCGGCATGGCATACAGGTACGCATTCTGAGCTCCAGAACGCCGCCGGGAATCTGCAAGTACTTGACAAAGCTGCATAACCGATTCCACGGAGGAGCATCAACCAATTTTCTGGAGCTGATCGGCTTCATTCCTGACGCGGCCCGGTATGAAGAGTCACTTAAGCGCCTGTCGCTCAATCTTTGTTGGGGTTGAAAAGGCAGCGAAGCTTGCTGCTGGCTGGGGACTTGACCAATGGCGGAGAAAGAGAGGTGTGAGAGAGGGAAGAATTAACCAGCCAGGAAGGGACGTGAGGGGCTGGGGATAAAGCAGTTGGGTGCGGCCCACCGTCAGCTCTTTCAGTCGCTTCCTTCGTGTCATTCATTCTTCATTCCACGGCGTGCCTCCAAGTCGTTCACTCTGGACTCGTCACTTCATTCCTCTCCTCTCCGTTCTCTCTTTTCCTTTCTCTTTTCTCTTCCTGTCACTTACCTCTCCCAACCCGTCGGTGGAGAGTGTGACAGAGAGAAGAGAAAGAGACAGTGCGGCGAGGATACAGACTCACTCTCGCCTCTTGACCGTTCCCTTCGGTCTCTCTTCCCCTTCCTTTCATTCATCTCACCCACGAGTGAACCAAAGTGAAGGAGAGATGATAGGGTGAGATGAAAGGAATGGGCTCTCTTCTCTCTTATCTCTTCTCCTCTCTCCCACCTACTCCGTTCGTGGTCAAGGGAGAGAGATAATGGAGAAGAGAAAGAGAAAGGGAATCTGGACCCTTCGTGTCGCTCATAAAGTCACTTTAGGACTAGACAAGACACGGAGGACAGGGTCCAGCTCTTTTCTTTCACCTCATGTTCATTCATCCCTTTCACAGCTTCCTCCTTTCCAAATCTTAGAATGTAACCAAACAGAATTAATATGAAAGAAAGAACAAGAAAGGAGGAAGGAAAGGGACAGTGTGCCATCATCTCGCTTCTTTCGTAACAGCGAGTGGCACATCCTAAAGTCGCTCTTTTCTGTCGCTCACGAACGAAGTGCTGCATTCATTGGCCCGTCCTCCTCCCCTTTCTAGTTGGTGAGGCAGCCAATGGCAGCGAGTGAACGAAGAAGCCAGCCCGCTCTCTCTCTGAGCTCGCTCTTCTCTATGTGTTAACCCCTCGCCCATTCCTATCTTCTCACAAACACACAGGCGAGGGAAGTAATAACCGTTCATGCCTTCCACCCCTACAAATGAAGCCCAGAGGCTGAGATGGAATAATGGGTTGGAGATGAAGGCATGAAGGCCGCTCACTCACTTCGCTCACTCACTCATTCACAGGTTAGTCTTCCTTCTCTCTACCTTTCTCTATTTGTGGCACCTAATCTCCTTTCTAATGCTCAAGACCTATCCACAAACCAAGAGGTGCCACAGAGAGAAAGAAGATGAAAATAAATATAAAAATGAAATGATTTCTTCCTTGTCACCCAACCTCTCTCACACATCCACACATCACATAGGATGGAGAGAGGAATAATAGGTGACAAGGATAGGATGGTATGGTGAAGGGATCTGGAGAGACCGAAAGAAAAGGGCCTTGAGCCTCCATTTCTTTTCTAACTGTATCTTATCTCCCTTTCCCCGTCCTTTGTTAGGGTTATAATGCTTAAGGAATTCCTAGATTGGAAAGGCATTAATGTGTGAGGAATTAACCGACAGTAGATAGGAGGTGTAATGACGAAGATAAAATATACAATCCTAACTGTGAGAATAGATGGTTGGATGAGGATAAGAGATAATAGATCCTCAAATAGAAAGAGGCTAGGGGAATGTACGTTATCTGACCCCGCTCTTCACCATTTGGTCGCGGGAAATAGACGTTAACTCCCGATCCAAGATCTCACTCTATCTCTACCCCTGACTCAGCTCACGGAAACCGCTCCTTCGTACCTCACAGAGAATCCCAACACTCACTTCGTTCCCATTTCCACTTCCTACCCGTCCTTGACGTCGGGAAATAAGATGACAATAATAAATCTACAATAAAGAAAAGATAACTGAAAAGAAGTGAATTATACCTCTCCTTCCTTGGCATTCTCGTTAACTAACTTCTGGTCGTAATAATTGTAAAAGCATTTAATTGGGTTTGTTGGTAGGCTATCTTCATGCATCATATTTTATTATTATTAATCTCTGTTTTCATTCTTGGAATTAACGGAATTACTTGAAAACCAAGAATAAAGATATGAAAGAAAAGGAAATAAACAAGCATTATAACCAAGAAACAGGAATCTGGTAGAGATAAGAGAGCGGGTTTGAAGCTCTTCTTTAACCACCATTTCTTGGATCGTAGGTTTGATGACATGATGAATCCGGACTGTGTCCCAAGAAGCGGTTAGCCACCTCTCTCCTGTCGGTGTTATCATCTTCTCCAACATTCCTAATCTTCATTCTAGACCGTAGGGTCGTTACCCATCATAATGACGAAGATAAAAGATATCCATAAAACCTATCCAAATATAAGAATTGCAAATACTAAAAAGAGAAAGAAGATAAAGATACAAATATAAATGAAAAGAAGAGATGAAGAAATAAGTAAATATTAGCTTTCCTGTCACTTCGTTTGTCATCATGTGTGTACTTCCTGTCCTACCTCCGCTCGGGCTTCTTCATAATGCCAACGAGCGAGGACAGGAATGAAGAGATAGTGAACGAAGGGAACGGGTACATCAGCTTCTTTCACTTCTTTTCCTGTCATCTGTTGGCTCGTCTTTTCCATGTGATGGAGTTCCTATGTTGGGAAGGTAATATGATGGAGCCAACAGGATGAGGATAGAGGTATAGATTGGTGGAGTTATGGGACCTACAATAGCTTTCCTTCCTTTTCATTCCATTGTTAGTCCTAATCTTTTATCTTTAGGAACCACACGGTCAGGGCAGGCAATCTCTGTCACTTTGCTAACCTATTAACTCTCTATCACTTCATTCATCACTTCATTCGTGAGTGTAATAGCATTCTCCTGTCCACCGTCTCTCATCTGTTGGATCCGGTGTCTTTAGGAGAAGAAAATAACAATAAAATCTAATAATAAAAGAAATAGAAAAGAAAGAAGATAATAAAATAGCTTTTCATCTTGGTCGCTCATTTCACACTCCGTTAACTCCTAGAGCTATAGGTGAGCTCAGCCATAGGATAGCGACCAAGTGGAGAGGAGAAAGAAGTGACAGATTAATAAAGACATTTGGAAAAGCTATTATTCCTGTCACTCTTCACTCTGGAAATATCTCCAGATTATTAACGAAGAGAAAAGAGAAGTCAGAGAACGAAGATAAAGTAAAAGCATTCTAACCCTAACATTGGCACCGCCAGGACAAGGCTTATCCAATATCTCTTACACACCGCTATCCTCTACCTGTGATTCATAGATGAGAGAGGGAACAGATACATTCCTCTAATCTTGGATCACCATTCACTACTTCCTCCGTGCTCTTCCTAAAGGCATTCTCACGTCGTAAAACTAATAATAAAAGAAATTAAAAATACAAAGATAAATAATAAAAGTGGCTTAAGGACAGCTATTACAGAGAGGTTCTGGAGAGTACATGGGATGACAAATGATGCCAACCGATCCAAAGGTAGGAAATGGTGAGGTGAAGAGATATGGTGAAGTGATGCCAGCCCTTTTCATCTATTGGCTGGTCTATTCTCTTTCATCTCTACATCATGTGGTTAGACAAGTGATTCCTAGAGATGCCGGGCAGGCCCTAACCAAGAATGGGATAGATATGGGAAGGTCCTTCAATCGCTTCTTTCTCTATCTATAATTCCCTTATCTCCTTTCATTTTGATTGTTAATTCTAATCTTTTATTGTCGCAACAGCATATTATTGTTTATTTTATATTATTATTGTTCATTCTGGAACTTCTCTTTTATTATCAATTATCTTCCCTTGTTTGGGTTATTTCCGTTCCTTTTAATTCCCAAATTCATAGATTAAGAGAAGGTAGATAAGGGAAAAGGAACGGGGAATAGAGGTGTAAGATAATGACCGAACGAAGGAAGGGAATGGCACCGCATGGCGGGTTGGTGGAAAGGTTTGGATGTAAACAGATAACAGCCTCTGGGCCTTTGGGCTCGGGTTCTTTATCCACTGTCTCGCCCTAACTCCCAGTCTAGGATTGTATCTGTGAAAGCCGAGAGGCCTCTCCATTCTATTTGTATCCTATGGTCTCACAGTGGCTTGTAATTACAGTTTATAAGAATAGAATTCTAAGAAGATAGAATTAACGGGTTATAGAATCCCATCCGTGAAGGAGTTAGAAGCTTTTATTTCTCTATTTATAATTCCCTTATCTTCCAGGTGTTAATTCCCTTAGCCAGTTCCTGTCCCAATGTTAGGATTCTATCTCCTTCACCTGTCAGGTTATTCCCTCCATTCATTTCCTTCAACCTCCGGCACTTGACAGACGAGTGAAGACGAGGAGTGGAAAGGGTAGGGAGTGAACACTGACCGGAGACTCCGGAAGATGAGGATACGAGAGAAGCGAGTGGCCGCTCATTCATTTCCTTTCCTGTTATTCCTGTTCCCTTCGTGGCTTTATTATTATCTGATTTCTGTCATTCCTAAAGTTGGGATTACATTGGAAAGAAGGGAACAGCATATGATGAAGAGATACAGGAAGGTGAAAGATGGTAGGTCTTCCTTCTCTTTGCCAAGCATTATGAATCTCTACATTGGATAGGTAATTTGGATAAGGAATGGAACAGAGATGAGTTAGTCCTAGCATGTTATCTTTCTCTTTGCCATATCTTCATTCTACCTTTGTCACGTCCATAAGAATCTGGAGATTACATTGTGTGGAGTGACTGGAATGCCATGAAAGGAACGGTATCTTCGCTATCTTTGATTGGCTTTATTATCATATTTCTTTTCCAATATTCCTTATCTTTATTGGTTTGTTGATTCCATTTCCCTTGTGTGTCTACTCTCTGTTTCTTGGAGATATTGGGTGATAATCTGTGAGACGAGAGACGGTAGGAAGGAGTGGGATCTTATCATCTTATTGCACCCGTTCCCTCCGGTACACTCTCCATTGGTAAGCCTCTGCCCTGTGGACTAGCCTCTGGGCATCATCTCCCACACATATGAATGACATGTTGAATCCTAATGTGACCCAATATCTCCACCATATGCCACCAATAGAATGCTGTTATCTTCCTATCCTGTACCGTCTATC